TGTGTTTGTTTGTTTGTGTGTGTGTCTGTTTTTGTGTTTTTTGTATTGTTTTGATGTTTGTGTTTATCTGTGCATGAATGTTTGAACGTGGTCTGTTCATAGGTAGCTGGCTCTTCTTTTAAATTTTTACTGATAAATAGATCGGGAGAGGGAGAGCGAGTGGGACAGAGAAAGAGAGAGAGGGGGGAGAGAGTAGGGGTGAGAGAGATAGAGAGAGAGTGTGAGTAAAGAAAGAAAGAGAAAAAAAGACAGAGAGAAAAGGAACGAATTGCTCCCTCACAACAGAAAGAAAGCAACAGAGAAAGTTTAGGTTTTCTTTTTTTTTTCCTGTAAAGACGTTGATCGCGAGCTCGCATGCTCGTGAGAGTACAAATATTCCTTTTCAGAATTATCGTTATTTGAAAGTGCACTTTGCTGTTTTACACCTTCAGTGATTATCTTTTTTTCTTACAGCTAAACGTCTCTGATTGCCTCAATAATGCAGAATGGAAGATCTAATCATGTGGCTATGTTTCATTGCTTTCGATTTTGTGTTATTTATAGATCAAACTTGAATTTCAGTAGCCGTGCAGCACAACCTTTGGGCTCGGAAAAAGTGTGAAAATTAATTTATAGTTGACTCATTATTTGTCTACGTCATCCACACTCCACCCCTTCGCTAATCCCATAATTATGTTTCCCTTCAAGCACACACACACACACACACACACACACACACACACACACACACACACACACACACACACATACACACACACACACAAACACACACACACACACATGCAGACACGCACACAAACACACACACATACACACACAGATAGACAGACAGACAGAGAGGGGGGAGAGAGAGAGTGAGAGAGAGAGAGAGAGAGAGAGAGAGACACACACAAAGAGAGAGAGAGAGAGAATTTCTAATCAAGAATCCCCACAGTTCCCCTAAGATGTTATTTTATTTTGTATACAACTAAGTCTGCGCTGGCAAGCTCATCTTCTACATCTGAACCTAAATTAACTTGATGTGATGGCAACAACTTACTTACTCTACTCTACTTTATCCTTCCTCTTGTACCTCTAGGACGTCGAGGGGAGAAAGAGCCTCCTGTCTCTAGCAAGTTTGATGGCCTGGCTGGGTGGGATATTGTATGTTCTCAGGGTATCTTTCACTCGCACCAGTTCTTTCTTGGTCATTCTCTTGCCTTGTGGGCTGTTGGCGGGTGAGCTGGTGTGGTTTGCTTCTTCTTTCCTATCAAACATCTATCGTCCTCATCTCCCCTCCTTCTTTTTTATGCTTTGTTACTCTCTTGTAACACCTCTAATCTTCTATCTGCCGCTCATATGATATTATGCAGTTGCGAACGCCATAAAACCTCTACTAAAACAAACTATCCTCTTGCCTTGTACCCTGATACTTTCCTGTAGCAGGCTTCATTGGTAACAACAACAACAATTAATTATACATGCGTCTTCCTGCAGGTTAAAACAGACGTTTTTCAGCCTGTTCTGGTCAATGTTCGGACAGGTCAGCATAGGTGACATCATCATCAATCACCCGAAGACCAACGGAGGTCAGTCGCCCGCCCGTATGTATGTCTGTGTGGTTCCACCGACGACTTGCCACGCTTGTCCTTGGTTCTTGTTCTTGTTTTGTTTTGTTTTTTGTTGTTTTGGGATCTTTTCTGTGAATTTTGTGTGTGTGTTTATTTTGTTGTTTTCTATTTTAGTTATTTTGGTTACTTTCTTTTAGA